GCTCTGCCTCAGTGTGCAACATGCTATCTTCTGACAGGATTGTTGTTCGCTGCTGATGCAGGCCTTTTACAAGCTGCCGAACGCTGGTGTTGGGCAAGAATATTGAGGGGACTAATCTTGTTTCTAAACTGAGTACAAAAAACTTGAGTTTTACATGTCTTGTTTTATGGTGCTATTTAATGGCATGGCACACCATCATGCATTCTAGCTTCTCATCTATACAAGGAGTATGTTTGGAGTTCTCAAATTGCCTTTGGGCTTTAATGGGATGGAGAATTGTACTGCTTTAGTATTTTTTAACTTGCAAGAAAAGATGTGCTCTCCTCAGGGAGCACTGAGGGAGAAAGCAAAGTAATTTTAAATGCAATGCCTATATGCCATCACTCATTTTCCAAATTAAGTAGTAGAAGATACTTCTCCATTAGTATGAGCCATTGTTTGAGAATATTTTGCACTCAGATGGGACAAGGTCACTTGGTCAACAAGGAAAGGATTTTGAATGGGAGTCAGTCAAATACAAGTTATCTTTCATTTTGGATATCTTCTAGGCAGTGGAATTAATGATGATGTAACTCTTATTGCTAAATTTGGTAGTTGGTTTTTTTGCCTTTTTTTTTTTTAATCTAAGTTTTGGTTTCAGCTTTGTAAGGTACCTAGTCTAGAGTAAGGTTAGTTGAACTTGATTTGGTTGTTGCTACCAGATAGTTGCTGGGATCAACTCTTGTCAGGCTTCAGGGTTCGTGTCAATCTTTTAATTTGTTTTTATTTTTTGTCTAAAATGGGTAGATTACATCAGCATCAGAGAGGCAAATAAACAATCTAAAGATGGCAAAAAATAGAGGTAGCATTTCATGTTAGTAGAAACTACAGAAAATATTGATGGAATGTATGTATTAGATTAATTGTTGTAAAATTATAGAGCCTTTCTTAAAGCTAAGCTAATTATGAGATATTTATTGAAAAAAAATTACCATAAAACTGACAACTTAGTAGAAAAGACCTTTTTTTTAAAAGCAGCAGTTTTATATAATGGTCATTATGTCTGCCCTCGTTATTGTGCGTGCTTAAAAAACAGAAGCAAAAAAGAGAAACATTTACTCGTTTTCCCATCAAATTTTTCAACTGAATGGTGTCTTCTACTGCCTACTTTATAGTCTTCTATAGGTCATTTTTAACTTTGCCAGTATAAATTTATGTCATCCTAAAATATAAATGTGCAGGTTTAAAAATCTGCAAACTTGCTAAGGTCATTAAAACCGAGATTGAATGAAAACATCAGAATTTTTTTTTTTAAACTCCTAAAATAGAAGCAGTTGACTGAAAGTTAAAGGATTTGTTCAACTATATTGTGGGGTTTTTTAAATAATTTAAATAACCCAAACTGCAGGAGTATGAAGTGTTCCCCCTGCTCTTCTCTTCCCCAGGATAAAGGTGACAAAATGGGAATGTGACTCAGGCTTTCAGGACTTTATAACAACGGCTTTATTCTCAGGCTGAATGAGAGAGAAGGGAGGAAAGTTTGATTTTCCTGTTTATAAGGACATCATCTTTAAGAAACAGGTATTTCTTTTATTAAAACCAGAAAAAAGGTGAAGATTCACATTTGTGTAGTCTGTAAGGATCAGTGATTTTTCCACATTTGTCAAACTTAATTTAATTGAACAACTAAATTGAGAACACTGTTCCAAGCACATACTATAGTGACTAATGAAAAGCTGTGCCTTATTTCCAAACCAAGCCTAAGCAACACAGTCGATAATTTAAGACTGAATTTTGGAAGCAAGTGGTGATGGTTCTGTGAGCGTCGGGGAATGTTACTGTTGAGGGAAGTTGCAAGGCAGTTAGCCCAAGACTGTTAAGGTTTTGCCAACTTCGTCCGAGTATCTGGGTTGAGGAAGAAAGAGTTAGCATCCAGAATATAATAGCCTGCGGGACTGTACTTTGTGCGTGGTGGGGGGTACAGCTGACTTGGATTGTGCAACAGGGAGGCGTTACTCCATGCAATGTAAGACTCCACTTCTGGTCAGTCCCACAAAATGCACAGGATTGTGCCTGTTCTTTTTGGGCTTCTGGTTCGGAGCGGTTCGTTTTCCGGCTTGTCAGCATTGACAGTTCTTCTATTTTAGAACACTTTGGCTTAACCCTTGTTAGAGGCCTTTATTAACACAAGATAGTAGAAGGGCAACTTTATTGTTTTCTAGATGGTCCAGTCTGGACCTGTCCACATAGAGATGGTTTTCCTCAGCACTGTTTTGCAGTTTCCTGTTTAGCATAGGCGCTATGAGAAAATACCACAGGACCCTGCAGTTCCCTCTGTGTCAGGTTGTCTGCCGTTATCACCATGTCAAGGCTGTGGGTCCAGCTTCCTTGGTTCTTCAGTCAGTTCTTAATGAAACAGCTCCTCTATTCTTCTGGCTCTTGATACCCTTCATACCATACTTTCTTTTAGGCCAGGTCTTTGCTTTTCAAGTAAGTTCTCTCTGAGCAAGTATACTTTTCCTTGTGTGTGAAAGCACTTCCCTAGAGCAGTTGTATGCTGCTGGTTACTGTATCTGAGCATGCACAGCGCAACAGTTGTGAAGGGTGATAACTAGGTTGAAAAACAAAATTAAAAAAAGAAGTTCCACATAAAGTTTGTGCGGGATGCCTTAAACATCTGTGGAAAATCTCACATGAAACGCACATAAATTTTCTTGAACTTCTCTTGAAAGCTCTTCTGAAAAGTAAGATTGATGCCCAGTATTCTGCTAGAACTAGATAATCTGAAGATGCAAGATGGATAGGTTTCCTTTTGAGGTCTAGTTAGCATATGCAAGAGTGTATGTGAGTGCTTGTGTGTGTACAAAAAATACACTTCTTTTTTTTTAAGCAAAGGGAAGCTATTACAAAAATGTGTACTTCTCATTGTCATGGCAGGAGAAAAAAATATTTGCAGAAGCTTAAAAGCCACCTTTGATTTCAGGATTTCATTAAATATTCTTCTTATGTTATACCTAAGTATTTTATGACCACCAGAATGCATGTTGTTCCGATTGTAGTGAACCTCTCCATTTCAGAAATCTGAACATTCCCTTTTTTCTTTCTGTAGGAAATCAACTCAAAACTTAATTCAGTCTGATGCTATGTTTGTTCATAATAAATTCTTACAAGTGTCTGAAATGGTTGCTTTATGTTGTTGAATGGGCATGTCATTCCCCTGTTAAGAGTAATTGCATGCTCTAAAACATAGTAATGACCAGTGTCTCTAATGAAGAAATGCAGTTATGGAAACAATTTATGGAAATAGCACAAATAACATGTCATATAGCATTTTTTTTCTTCATGAAGAACTCGGACTAATTTGTGTCTTATAGGGAAACTGGAGAGCTTTTACACCAACCTCGGGTATTGGCTGTGGAAAATCACCCTCTTTAAACCATTAATGCCATAGTTGGACCTTTCATTCCAAACAAACTTCGTGTTAACATTTGTTTTGCAACAAAGTGGCTTGCTAATGATATGGTAGAAAAAATGGCCAATGAGATGGCAGTATCTAGTGAAAAATTTAAATTTGTTGATGAGACACTAAGTAAAACTGTTGGTAGCACAAAATAGTAAGTATTGGAAGAACTAGTCGTATGCATCTGTGAGTCTAATTGGAACTGTAATAACCAGAGGCGAAAAAGTCTGTTTGTGCTGTGCAGTTATGATTTTGGTAAATAAACACTGATGTGCCTATAGAGGATGGAAAAAGAATACTTTACATGTTGTACTGTTTTGCTTAGACTGGTGCAGTTTTATTTAGCTACTGTTTGGTGCAGGTCATGTTACCTCTTCCTGGCTTGATTTTCCTGCTGTTTTGTGCAAAGCTACGAGAGCACAGAAAAAACTGCCCATTGAGAAGAAATAAAAGAGAGTTAAAATATGCCATGTTTTAAAAACATGCAGCTAAGTCCTTGGTATTCGTTGCTATTGCTGAACTGCAGTGCTCCATGCAGCTATTTATATTACCCCAGGATCTGTAAAAGGGGAGAATGAAACAAACCATTTTAGTTTCTCCAGAACTTGCATTTTCAGGAAGAATGGGGTGGCAGCTCTGTGTTTTATTAGTCAAAGATTTTTGCATCTATGCATTGTGCCGTTATTTAATGGTAGTCACATCTGCTGTCATTAGTCAGCTCCTTGATTAGTCTTTTGGGCAGAGGGAGGTTGCTGGTGGATGTAGTGGTACCACAGATGCAGTCTAGCTTATTGTTTAAACTTACAACTTTGGTTTCATCAGGTTAAAATATTTTGTATTGCAGTTAGACTTTTGCACAGCTTCCAACTATTCTGTGAAATTCAGTCACGTAAAACTGTGAGCCAGTGAGTCTGATTGAATAGGTGTAGTTCCATTAAAGGGAATGTTATCAGGAATATTCTCTCTTATCTGTTTTATTAAAACTTGTATGATTTTAGGTGCAGATCTTTTGTCTTGATTCAAAACTAGGAAAGACTGTTTCTCAAGAAATCAAACTTTTGTCTTGCAAGTTGCGTCTATTGTATGAAATGAATTCCTTAAATCTAAATCATCACATTCTCTTGATTGGTTAGGCTTACGTATTTATCTTGCTTATTTAAATTTTCTCAGAGTTCTCCTTGTGTTTTTACATCAGAGTTACCGTAAACAAATATGGGATGTAATGCAAAATACTTTGTGTAATTTAAAAAAAAAAAAAGTAAAGTTGCCTAAACAGAATTGTAAAAACTGAATGCAAGAATATGATTAAGCTGTTCTGGGGACATCTGTTCTAAATTTCAAGTGATTTAATAGTGATGCGACTCCAAAATTGACCATTTTTGTTTACAGTGCTTTTTATTCCATCTATGACTATTTTGGAATCACATCTAACAGTTTTTTTCCTCTCTTTTACAGACTGGACTTTGACATTCTTTTCATGAAAGAGGTTTCCAAGTAGTTGTCCTATTATAACTTTCAGAAGAAGTTCTATGTAGCTCTTACTTTCAAGAGTGCTGCAAAAATGATTACTTCAGATTTGCCAGTACTACAGTGAGTATATGTTTCTCTATATATTTGAAATCTTCAGTTTTAAAAAGGTTGAAGTAAACAGAGAGGTGATTGCAAGGATAAAGCAGGATCTTGAGAGAAGTGCAGATTAGTGTGACTGTTTCAGGCCTCCTTGTCGTATGCTGAAAAACTGTGTAAAAAACAGAACACTTAATCTAAAAGATATTTCTTTATATATATGCAGATTTAACTTTGCTGTGAAAAGTTCTTTGCTAGTTTTATGCTTCCGAATGTTGTGAATTTCAGAAATGTTAGATGGGTTTTAGTTATAATTGACCATATTTGTGTATTCCAGTTGCGTACTCTTTCTTACAATGAGCTGTATTTATTGTGCAAAAAGCCTTTGGCTTCTGCAGTTGAAGACAGCAAGTGGCATTCCCATGTTTTGATCTTGCTGGGAAATAGGAGCGGCTTATACAAATGGGAGCATCACTGTACTTGGCTAAAGTGGACTCTTGGAAAGAACAGAGTGGAAGTCTATAACGAGAGGAGCTAGAGAGTAAATCAAGTAGAGTTAAGAAAGGAAAATTTTAGCAACAGGAACTTTATTTGATGTGGTGGGTTGACTGTGGCTGCTGCCAGACATCCACCCAGCTGCTCACTCCCCTCAGCAGGACAAGGGGGCTGGAAAAGCTCGTGGGGTGAGATAAAGACGGGGACATCACTTACCGACTGCCCTCATGGGTAAATCGGACTCGACTTGGGGAAAAGTAATTTATTGCCAATTAAAGAAAAGATTTGGACGCTGGTGAGAAACACAGACAAAAACTAAAACGTGTTGCCTCTCCCTGCTGTCCTTTTCCCTGGTTCAACTTCACCCCTTCATTCCAGACTCCCCTGCTCACCCCCGCAGCATGGGGCTCTCCGAGGGCTGTGGTGTGGATACCTGCTCCAGCGTGGGCTCCCCAGAGGCCGTGGGGGAGCCTGTGCCAGGGCGCTGGCAGCACCTTCTCACCTTCTCCCTCCTGCTGCTCGCAGGGCAGCTCCCTCGCCTCTCGGGGCGCTCGGCTCTGCCTTCAGTAGCTTTCTTGGAGGCACCGCCCGCGCCTCTGGTGGGCCCAGCTGTGCCTGGCCCTGTGGCCCTCGGGACCGGCTGGAACCGGCTGTGTCCGGCATGAGGCAGCCCCTTCTCGCCTCACAGAGCCCCGCTGCTGCCACCTTGCCACCTAGAGCAAATACATTTGGTAATTAGCTAATGTTAAGGTTTTTTTTTGCTGGGAATGAAGATCTGAAAGTAGGAATTATCACAGGGTGTAAAAGAGCCTCGGTTTATCAAGGTTGAGTGATGTTCAAAGACTAAGTTTTCAAGTGCCTTTAAGAAACTGAATGTTTGGACGATTGTAAAGTTATTTGTCTGACCTTAATGCCTGCACTGCAATTTTTTTGTTATATTTTTAAAACCTCTTTCAAAAAAAATTAATTTCTGCTGTGAGTGAGCAGGTGGCTAAAGATGGGGCTGACCCTGATGGGAGGAGAGTCAGCCCTGAGGGCAGTTCTGGTTACCTTTGAGAGAAGTTGTGGAAAATTTTTTTCTGTGTGCATATTTTCCTGGATGTGCCAGATTCAAGAAGTGAGAGTGTGCTTGTGGAACGTGCCAAGGACAAAGAGCCAGGAGATTATGTCACGGCAACGGTGGGAAAGGGGTATTCCCGTTCCTGGCGCAAGAAGCGGGATGGCCTTAAGAAGTGGGTGAAATATTGTGGAGTTTAAAAAGTGCATATTAATAGATTTGGTAACTCTGCACACCAGCTGAGAAACCTGAGGGACATTAAAGATGTTGGCATGTTGTTTAATCAGAAGATTGTGAGCCGCCTGTATTATGCAACTGTAAAAACTGAAAGGAAGCATGTATGTTGTGTTTTCCAGTAGAGCTGAGAATCATTTAATGCCACTGTGCGAAGTGGTGTTGAGATGGCGTCATCAGTAATATATATAGTTTCGGTTGCTCATAAACAAGATGAGATCTTCCTTTTTACAAAGAAAATCAGCAGGATTTGCACATAAAGGTTTTGAGACTCTCCTGAGAGCTCAGAACATAAAGTCTAGTGTGGATGAAATATCAAAGAAAGTGGTAACTGCTAATTCAGTAGGACCCAACCAGATTTTCGTCTGAAAGAAGCCTGGCTAGAGGTGAGAGAACCTGAAGCAATCTTTGGTTAGGGGTATTAGCTTCACACATTTAGGTTTGAGAGGACAGAATCTGGTTCCACACAGGGGAAGCCAAGGTTTTCTTTCTAGCTCTTAAATAAGCAGCTTTGAAGGATTATTATAAACTACCATTCCTATGCCTTGTTTCTACTTTTTCATAACGTTTTCTAATCTTTTCAGCTGCCCCCTTTAAACAAAGGGTCCTAAAGTCAATTTGATATATTAATGTACTTTGCTTAGGACCATATAAAATATTCCCTCCCAAATTCTTATCTCTTGAAGGAACGTGAAAGGAAAAATATTTAATCTTTCTGGATTTATAGAAGTAGCTTCCGAATGCACTGAAGACAGGATTTTACTGACTGGTGTTTCAGATGCAGGGAGAAAAAACCTCTGGTGTATTTGACCTGGGTGACTGACTGTTACTAGTCTTCTCTCAATGGGATGACTCATATTTGCTGTGAGGCATGTTCCTCTTTAGGTTTTGAAGATCAACCATGAGAGCTGATTCATCCATGATTCATGAGCCTGTGCATTTAGCCATTTTTCTTCATGAATGCTTTTCTTCACAAGGCTGGGTCTGGTGGTAGCAATTACTGAATTTATCACTGCTAGAACCTTGAGCCACCACAGCAATGCAGATAAAAGCTTATAGATGTGTTTTTATTTACAAAAACTGATACATGAACATAGGATTTTGCTGTGGGTGTTTTTAAGGGGTTTGGTATAAACTCTATAGCTAGGGCTTTATGTAATAGTAGAAGGAAGGTGAATTTGTTTTGATTTATTTTGCAGAGATGTGAAATTTACTCTGTTTATGGAAGTATGTTCTTCAGACACATGACATGGCAAAGGGCTGCCCAGTAATCTGTTAAGTCTTCATTACGATATGATTAGTTTCAATGTCTAGCTATTAAAACCTCAGAATAATATCTAGAGCTTTTAGGAGGAATCCTAGAGTTACTGCAGGTTTTCCAGGATGCTGTAGCCACCACAGAGAACAGAAAGAAAGCGAGTGAATTTGAGCCCCTACAAGGGATTGTCACATTTCTGCTTTACTCTGCCCACCCCAATCTTGTAGATCTCCCACAATCTGCCAAATTCTCTTATGTCTCTATCATGTCAAAGGTCTCTTAGAGAGGAAAGGTTTAGCCTTTGGCAGTGCTGCCTCTCCTCTTATTAGATAAGGCAAGTCTCCTTAGGCCCAGATTACTTTCCCTCCTAACAGCTTCAGCAAAGATAAATTGTGACTAAGCCTAAGTTTTCCCCTTGGGTGACTAGTCGCACGCATGTAAAATAGGGGTAGGATAATTCCGGTCTATTAAGATGTGGATAACTGCCACCAGATAAATTACTTCCTAGCACTTCTGCAAGATGTGTAGGGGATGAGGGAGATGGATGCTGGCCAGATGCTCTTCTCAATGAGTGTTAGAAACCTGACAGAGCTGCAGGCAGTTGAGATGCTTTACTCCTCCTACGCGTCCAGAAATAAGAGGAAAAGGGGCACATGTATGTGTACCCAAAGCTACTGTAAGGCCTTGACAGAAACAAGAAGCACTACCTCCCAAACTGAGGGCACTCAAGGCCGCAGTGGAAGGGCCTTTTTGTGCAGGAGTTGTATGAGTCGGACAGAATTCCCTGCTGCTTGAAATGATGTTTATTTTAGTGTTAAATCAGCCAAGGACTATAGGTTGTCCTTCATCCTGTCTCCCTACTCCAAATAATGTGAGTATTGAAGGGAACTTACTTTCTGATTTTTTTCCCTTATTCCTTACATACTTACATTCTTTGACAGAAGAAATTTCCTCTCTGCCTCACATATTGTTAGGGTGAGATACATCTTGTTCAATTTTAAACATATATTTGAGCTGCTTCTCTAGATCACCTTACCATCAATGGAGAGAGAAGAAAATTTATAAACCATTAACTGTGACCAATTTTGGACACTGACCTTAGCATAGGGTATGTTGCACCTTAAGGTTTTTCTGTTTTCTGCATTGTATATGTCTAAAATTCAGATGAATCTCACCCTTAGTACTGATTCATTGAGCCTTTCCCAAAAGGCTTCCAGCAAACCAGGGCAGTTTTAACAGAAAAATTAGAAAAGCATGGTTATCATGTTTAAGACAACAGTCTGTTTAAGACAAAGAAGAGAAGGCAGTTAATAATTAAAATATCGCTTCCATATGCAGTGTTCCGAAGCAGTTGAAATTTCCAGAACTAAACACACAAATCTCAGCAGGTTTTGCTAGACTGAGACAGAGGGTGTAGCAAAGTCAAGCTCTCTGTGGACTAGATGCATGCAAAATAGTAGTACAATTTAATTTATTTATATAGCTCCAGTGTTTGAAAGGAAGTATTTGACCATTTGCCTAGGAGGACTGCTGAATCTGGTTTTAATAGAGAAAAATCTTTATCCGTATGATATTAGGGGTGCGGTTTTGTAAGCTAGCAAAGCCGCAGCGTTTCCCCAGGAATGGGGATACTGCTTAGAGCACACCATGCCTAAAATTTTTCCAGTAAGGATCTATGTAGACCAGAGCACAGCTTATTTTTTCTATGGAGAGCAAGAGACAATGGCTTTAATTTCTCTACAGCAATGGAAATCAGCAGATATTTTTATGCAGTTTCTTCTGTATTCAAAAGTTATTTAAAATTTAAAAAAAGTCAGTGAGGCAATACACATTTTTGTCAAATTGAATTGCAATGTGATAGCTGGTCTTTGACTAAAAGCTGGATACATTCATCCACATAGCCATTGTTTTCAGCTGTATTCACTGCATTGCTTTTCACCAGTGTGGCCCTATTTTACCAAGTCATTTTGAACTGTGTGTGGGGCTTCTTTTATTTGGCTTTAGGCTTTTTACAGCGGTGGGGTGTTTTTTGTGTTTTGGTTTTTTTTTTTAGTTCATAGCTTGATACTGAGTTTTTAAAATTTCATATTTTATGAAACAGGAGAGCCACTTTAGTTTTATCACAACAAAGCTGCATTTTCAGTATTTTGTAGAGATTCTGTTTTATAAGTGTATAATTTGGGAACTCAAATGTACTCAAATACTGTGGTTTTTTTAATCTAGGGTGCCTGGTTTTCTGGGGTGTATAGAGTATTTGGAGATAATCCATTGAAGTTACTTTCAGAAAAGGAGATTCATGTATGTTCTCCTGCATTCTAGCTTTTGTAAAGCATTCTGTGGACCTCTTGGTGGTTTTGTGTTTGCAAACTAGAAAAGGTTGGAAAATAATGTCTTAATATTAGAAATTCATCATAGTTCTGCAGAATTACTTGAATCAGAGTAGACCTAGAATGATACAGTAATTTCCGTAGAGAAGTATCAGAACATTCTGCTACAATGATGCTTGTATCTTTCTGCATTACTGAATAGCTTTCTTCATGATACAGCAAATTTGTGAAGTAGTCATGATTTATAAAACAAAATAAAAAAATAAACCCCCAGACGATGTGGAAGATCTGTGTACGTCTTGGCTTGCTGAAGCTTCTCAGTTTCTGTAAACCAGATCACTAATGCTGCCTTTTATGTTTGAGACCGTATAAAATAATGAAATAGGTGTGGTTTTCACCTTCCCCTTGCACAAGTTTTACAGCAATTTAACTTCTTTCACTTCAAGGAAATTATACTGGATTTAAAGAAATCTCTGGTTAGAGCTAAACTTGACCCATCTTTGAGTAATCTTGGCCATTATTAGAGTTACTCTTTCATTTCCAGAGATCTCATGCAGTGGTGGTCTTGCAAACTAAAAATAAGGCATATCAGTAACAGGTATGGTTTTTGCTTGTGGACTGCTCTTGGGCAAAATCTAATGCCTCAGAAGATCAATAACAAGCTGAGTTTCCTCAAGCAGCCAGGTCTGTTAATAAGGCAGAGAAGTACCTGGGCATCTGGTGGGGGTGTGTGTGTGTAGAAACTGGGCTAATGTTTTTCCTTACTTAGTAAGGAAACCAGGAATGCTTGAAAAATGATACTGTGGGCTTCTCTGCTAATAGCCATTGAGCAATGTCAAGGTTTTATCATTGTACAAGTGAAAATGTTTTTCTAACTGCAAGAATCATAAACGTCTTCAGATCAGAGTGAGTTTTCTGTTTTGTGCCTCATGGTCAGTGTTAATCCTCTCTTTATTAACAGCTGCACAATGCCATTGTCTTCGAATGTGACTAAAACAATGATTTAATACTAGTGGGAATTTGTGTAACTGTTCTAATGATGTGATAGCTGGACTGGACTCCAGTTTGCTTTTTCATGGCCTTGAAAGCAGCTTGGAAGTAGTTACTAAGAGTAAAAGAAAGTTGATACAAGTGAATAGACTGTGGGATGGATATGATGAGAGTGTGCTGTTTAATATAGCCAAGTGTAACATGATTTCAAAAGAAGCTGTTAATTGAAATAGCTTCCAGTCTATAAAATGACATTCCAGCCCATAAAAAGGTAAGGCTTTTTGCCAGGGCTAACAATGCTTAGTTCCTTAGTTTGCAGAATAAATGTGGCAAGCTTTTTCATGCTAACTTTCTGGCTTAGAACTAAATATTTAAGCAGTCAGTTATAGATTACTTGTTGATTTCAAATCATTTTAATTTATCTAGTGTTTTTCCCCCCCTAGGGATTCTACAAATGAAACAACTACACATTCAGATGCTGGCAGTGAGCTTGAAGAAGCAGAAGTCAAAGGAAAAAGAAAGAGGGGCCGTCCTGGCAGGCCTCCAGTATGTCTCATTTAGTTTTGTTTTGTTATGCATCTATTTAAGATTGACTGCAAACTGTTTTTCATCTAATCATCTTGTGGTCACATAAATAGGCTTTTAATGAGCCCTATGTCAAACTTCATGAAGACTTGTAGTATGAAATATTTATCAGATTGATATGCAAACAATGTTTGAAGTGTTTAAAAAGGGACATAAAAATGAGGTCATAATAGCTATTATTTTTTCTTTCATTAGCTACTTACATGAACATTAGAATTCTGTTATTATTGTCGTATTACAGTGTTCTTTCAGACACGAGAATAATCTCTGTAAGCACGACCACTTTCTCTTTGGAAAATTGTGATGAATTTTAAACCATCCTTTCAGTCCCTAATAATCTCTTCATGTGAACAGAAGAGTTGCAGCATAGTATTAACTAAATGCCTCAGAAGATCTATTAACACATCTTAAAAATTCATGTCATTGGCATACACTGTGCCCAACATACAGATTGGGAGCGTCAACCTATTCTCAGACACTGTTGCTGTCTGCTGTATAAGATTTGCTGTTCTTCTGTAGTCTTTGCCCATTGCTGGCCCATGAATGGGAACATTCAGAAACAATTCCCTATTACACACAGTATTTAAAGAGGCTTTCTCTTTTATTTACACTTATTTTATAAAATAGCCAATTTATCCAGAAAAAGTTCTGTGTTTTGTTGTCCTTCATTTTAGTTCTTCAAGGTCACCAGATGTCATTATCTTGATTATAGCACTTGAAGTACTGTGGAATAAGTTTTTTTTTGATGGGAAGTTCTGTGTGTGTTATTAATGGTTTTGATTCTCCTCTTAGTCTTTGTCTAGGAGTACACCCCTAGTATGAATGGGATATCTCTCTCTCTCTCTATCTCACTAGTAGATTGAGACTTTTTTTTTGCCCGAAGACCTTCTACCCTAAGTTTAACTCCTTAAGCATTGGCTAGTGAGTCCCTAAGAATGGACAAAACCATGTGTTCCTTTCAGCATGCTGGCCAAGCTGAAGCAAACTCCTTAGGTTTTCAATTTGCATCACAGTTTCTGGAATTACTTTGGAAGCCAACATTTTAAAGCCTGGGCTTTTCTTGGCATGTTGTTGTCCTTTTTGAAAGCTTTTGAACAGTGTTTCCTATGATGGAATATATTCTTCATCAGATGGACAGATTTGCTTACAAACATAGAGCTTCTTTACAGGAAGCTTTAAAGAAGCATGTAAAGAGAACAGGTCATCTGCTTATATAACTTCTAAACAAAGGGCAAAATGAGAAATTATCTAGTAAATCTATGAGTTTTTGCAGATCTAATGAAAAAGAGGATGGTGCAACCTGATTGCTAACCCAGAAGGTGGTCAGAGTGTAGGAATTTAAGTTAAAGCAACACCAGTGGTATTTTTTATCCACCACACATTCACTGGAGAGGAAAGGTGAATGTTACAAAAGGTGTTGCTCATCCCTCTATTTGAGCTTACTGGTAGTAGCTACTATGGGACTACTTGCTGAAGCACTCTACTGGTCCTGCTATCAATTTTCTACAGGAGCCAGTTGATCATTATGCTTAGAACAACTCCAGACTCATTAAATGTACATGATTGTAAAGTGATGAACATACAGGTGAATCTGCCATTGCTTCATACATAAAATGATGGCCTGTGAGCTGACCATTGCTGCTAAGGAGCAAGACCTTAGAGTTATGAGAGATGATTTCATGAAAGCATCATCTTAATGCTCAAGAGAGGTCAAAAATCCAAATCCAGTCTTAGAACTCTGAGGAAGAGGGTAGACAGTAAAGCAAATACCATGTGCTTTGTAAAATGGTGGGTGGTTTGCCAGAATTTGTACAATTCTAGTTTCTCTTGACCTCTGCCCCAAAATCTCAAGGAGGATACATTAGGACTGGAATAGGGCTGGGAGGGACCTCAGGAGGTCTCATTGCAGCCTCCTGCTCAGAGCAGGATCAGCTTTGGGATCAGACCACGTTGCTTGGGCCTTTTCCAGTCTGGTTTTGAAAACCACCAAGGCTGGAGAGGGCACAGCCTCTCTGTGACCTATTTCATTTCATTTCATGAAAAATTTCTCCCTTGTCAGCAATCAGAACCTCTCTTGCTTCAGTTCATGACTACTGTCAGTTGTCCTCCTGCTGTACGCCGCTGCAAAAAGCCTCAGAGGGGAGGTGTTCCCAGCCCCACCAACTATGTTGGTAGACCTCTGCTGAACTTTTTCTAGTTTATCAATACCTCTTTCACATTGAGAGGGCCAAAAATGGACATGGTATTCCAGATAGAGGCTAAGAAGCACAGAACAAAAGGGTATAATCACTTTTCTTGGTGTACTGCTGTATTCCTGCTTATACAGCCCAGGGTGCTGATGGCCTTTGCTGCTCAGGCACGTGGCGGTCTCAGGGCCACTTTGCTGTCTGTTGAGACCCTGAGGTCCTTTTCTGCAGAGCTGTTCCCTGACTAGCTGGTCTCCAGCCTGTCTTGGTGCAGGGATTTGTTCCTCTGCCAGGGGCAGGTTTTTGCATTTGTCCATGTTGAATTTTGAGTATACCGTCAGCCCAGTCCTCCAGACTGTCAATAGAAGTTTTGCCCTGGGTGTCATCAAGCAGTCTCCCTGCCAATTTGGTGTCATTTGCACACTTGACAGGAGCACGCTCTCTCACCCCCTCCGACTAGCTGATAAAAATGGGAAACTGGATATGTTCCAATGATACTTCTGTTGTACTCCCTCATCGCCAGACTCCAGGTAAAGGATGATCCATTAACCACTATGATCTGAGCCGAGCAGTTCAACCACTTGTCCACCCATCTAGTTGTCTCCCACCCAGATCACAGCTTCCCTGCTTGCATACAAGAATATTGTGGGAGACTGTTGAAAGCCCTGCTAAAGTCAAGATAAGTGTCATCTGTTGCGCTCCCCTCATCCAGAACTGAGTCATCTTGCTACAGGTTTTTGGGTGACTTGACAAAATGTGTATGTTTGGATACACAATCAAATCTTGCCTTCACAGTTGATACTGCCGCAACAGAAAGGAATAAACAAGGTTCTTCTAAAAAGACGACCAAAAAGGAAAAAGCCACTCAATGTCTAATACACTTGAGGAGAAATGCAAATGCCTTGGAAAATCTAATCTAGGCAATTAAGTTTATAATGTTATTTGATATTAAAAGTCATGGGCTGAGTAATCAAGGTATTGACTTTGCAAACATTGTATTTCACTTTCCCTCCTCCTCCATATTGCTTACCTATCCATGTTGCTAAGCTATTCACTTTCCACAGGTGAATTATCTGCCTCTTACAGGAGATGCAGCTGACATTTCTTCCCTGACTCTACTATCTGTTAACATTATTTGTATTTCCTGAACAGGTACCACCTACCCTTACTCTCAGATGTGAAACAGATTAAAATACTTAGTTAAATTCAGAGCTGTTTTTCTCAACTGATACTTAGATTTGATGTTTTTCATTTCTGTTACAGACCTAAAGAAAGGCTTTTCTGCCAAAAGGTCTTCTGATTTTTGTTTGTTTTTTTTTCCTAACTAAAATATTATGGCCTAATAAGATTTGATCTCTCCCTGCAAATGCTGATTTGCTTATGTCCTTATGCCATCACAGCTACACAGCTGTCATAAACATATTGACCTCTTTTGGAAAGAGAGTTTACTCTTCTGTGCTGTTTTGTCTAGCTTCATGGTTCTATTGCAGAGCTGCACACAGTATGCTCCTTCAAATGTATGTATGTATGTAGAGGATTTTCCAAACTTTTTTCCAAAGACAGACATTCCTTTCTGCAAATTTGAGACTTTTGTAAGGAGATGGTCCTCATTTGAAAATTTGCCATTTGTAGCAAATGACTGTTCAGTTCATAGAGAACCTTAATATTTTGAGAAACCTTCCCTTCCTGAAAACTCTGCTTTCCAAATTTCCCCTTCACTTCTATGAGACTATTCTAATGAGTACTTGGCTGATTAGACTAGGCAGTCAACTTGCAAAGAGAGTAAGTGCATTGGTTCTTCAAAATAACTCTCAGAATCTAATCTGATTGTCCTGAATTCCCCAACCCTTGCAGTGACCTTAGCAGGAGTTGTACCATGTCCTGTTCTAGCATTGACAATGACTCGAGCTGGCCTCCCCCTTGCCCATGTCCACCTCTCAACTCTGAGTCTTGTAGACCAGATGCCTGTGGAATGAGTGGTGAATCTGTCCTGTCAGTGCGATATTTTGGTACTTGTATTTATATGATACTGTATGTGAGCATACCATATGGAATATATATTTAGTGAATTGCATGAGATGTATTTAGGGATTGACCTGTAACAGCCCTCTGGTTGATGTTGCTGAGTAACCTTGGCCAAAAATACCTTTTCTGTCTGCTGCATTATTGAAATAACATGGATATGGATGCACAGTCCTGTTCTAGGTAGGGGATTTGAAAGCCCAAGGGCTTATGATGCAATACAGCTTTCACATTACTGACCTCGGGCTCAGATCAGTTATTTATCTATCCTTTGTTGTCTCCTCTCTTGGATCAATGCGCTCTGTTCAATGTTGTTGACATGCTTTATTTTAACCTACCTGGCCTTACCTTCCCAGGAGCTCAGGATAGCTTGGCTTAAACCTCAGCTGCTAGAGGTTGAGGGAGTGAGAGAGATTCCTGACTATATTTCAGCTTTGAAGTAGGAGTAGACAGATCAGTCTCTTTGACTCAGAGGACAAGAAGAAACATCAGTCTTTCTGTTCCAGAGGTGAGAATTCTGAGATCGCTGCTGGAGTCTCTCTTATCCCATACTTGGGGCCACAGCATGCCTTTCTCCAACTCCTCTCCTCAGATTCCTTTATTAAGGCAAGGTGGAACAAGGCACTTCTGATCCTTTTGTCCCCAGCACAAACTGTACAGTTCTGCTTTCAGGTTCTTTTGTATTTTTTGGTATGGAGGAGACAGACCACAATACCATATGTTTGTGTTCATATGTGAGATTTTAACTATGCA